TACTCTACATTCTACTCTACTCTACTCTATATTCTATTCTACTGTACTCTACTCTATTCTATTCTACTCTACTCTATATTCTACTCTACTCTGTATTCTATTCTACTCTACTCTACTCTATATACGATTCTATTCTACTCTATATTCTACTCTACTCTATATTCTACTCTACTCTATATTCTATTCTACTCTACTCTACTCTACTCTATATTCTACTCTATATTCTCTATATTCTATATATTCTATTCTACTCTACTCTATATACTATTCTATTCTACTCTACTGTACTCTACTCAACTCTGCTCTCTAGAGTCTAGACTATTGCCTCAGTTAATAAAGGAGAATATTTGTAGCTCAGGGTTGACATAATGGGTCATTGGTGCTCTCTGAGCTTGCGTGTACTAGTACTGATGATTTTAACTAGTTTGGGTAATGAAACCTCTGCAAGAAAACAAGCAAGCTCAAGAACACCAAGGATGCCACAATCCTCCTCCTCCTCCTTGCTCTCCCCCTCTCCCTCCCCCCTCCTTTTCTACTCCACAATCCTCATTCCCAGGCGACCCCAAACCTGGCAACTTTAAGACTTGTGGACTTCAACTCCCAGAATTCTGGGAGTTGAAGTCCACAAGTCCTAAAGTTGCCAAGTTTGGAGACCTTTGCTCATTCCCTTCTAGTACTGACGATGTCACCTAATTTGGGTAATGAAACCTCTGCAAGAAAACAAGCAAACTCAGGGAGCACCAAAGGACCCCCTATGACCACCATTGTACCAGAAAATTATCTGTTAAGTGTTGCAGTCATTAAGTGAAGCACCACTTGTCCGTGCCTGATTTTATGTCCTTTTTGCCGTGGTTATTAAGCGAGACATCATATGTGATCATGCTTTGCAATTTTTCCTTCCCCTCTACTTGTCGGAAGGGACCACATGATCCCGAGACGCTGCGACTAACATAATTATGAGCCAGTTGCCAAGTGACCACATCATGGTCATGTGACCATTGCTACAGTCATAAGCGTGAGGACCGGTTAAAAGTCTCTTCTGTTTTTAGTGTTGTCCTAAGCTTTGAACAGTCACTAAGCAAATAAATGTAAATTGAGAGCTAGCTGTACAAAATCTTTACAGATTATATAATACTGGAGTTAAAATGTTTCCCCCTTTTTTTAAATAATCAAATTGGAGGACACACACAAAAATATTATAAAGAATATAAGCTTCGCTGGAAAGAAAAAAAGGAGCTTGTTTTCTTTTTCAAATTCTGGAATATAAATCTTTAAAACGTCAAACAATACACAGCATTTGTGTATGAATTAGAACAGAGGCGAGTAAACTTACTTGCCCGGGAGGGGACAGTTCTTAATAATAACCCCAATATTTTCAGCAATCGTGGACTCAAAAGGAAGAAGAATTGTGTTACGTAGATCTTATTTAGGAGTAGAAAAACAATCTTTCTCTGTTGTGGAAATTCTGGAACTTGAGGGAGCCAGTATACCTTGCGTAACTGGAAAGCCAATTTAAGGTCACTCAATTCAGCAGAAACTTCCTTCTTGGAGGCAGAAAGAAAGCCAACCCTGTTTTCCTCTGGTTTATGGCCAACCCTGCTGATTTTAATCTCAGAGGACACATTTGATCAATTGCTGCTTCACTGCTACCAAGTTCTGTTTTCCACCTTGGCTTTCCTGTATCTTCAACGCCGATGACCAAATGCGACTTGGTGTGAGTGAGCCTACCTTTTGCTGTGGCAAACCAGGTTGCCTGTGGCTGGAACTGAGCAGAGCCTTTGGATGGGTCTTATTGTGTGTGGTGTTGTGAATCCCGCAGCTGTGGCTTTCTCCCCAGCTGATAATTCCCTATGCAAACCTAGTGTCGCAAACAAGGCAACCGCGATAAACATAGGGAGAAAAAAAAGAAAAGAAAAAACAGGGAGGTTGCAAGTCTCTGGGCAGGCGTGGAAAATAATTGTCAGGTAGATTAATGCAGCTAAGAAAATTCAGGTAAAGCCGTTTCCCCCCTCTCTCTCCCATCCACTCCCCCTCGCTTTTTTTAATCATGCAGGTGTCCCGTAGAGATGTTTGAGAGAGAGAAAGAAACCATGAAAGCTCTGGTTGTGGCGGTTGTGTGCATGGCTTACTGTAGGCTGTTTTAAGCAGGAACCCAGTGATGAAAACAAGGTGTATGTACTCGTTGGAGAAAGCAGGCACTTGGCTTTACTGTCCTGGGAAACAAGCCTGTAGAAAAAGTAGAAGGTAGCCCGTGTTTTCTTGAAATCATGATCCGGGGATCTTTTGCTCCTCGTTTTTTATAATTTAATATTTTTTTTTTTGAGGGACACAGTCATAAGCCATCCCAACTGAAAGTGTAAATCACTTTCTCTGCAAAAGCCATGGACTTTTCTACAGACTTGTAGAAAAAACAGAACAGGTGTTGAGATGTGGGGATTCGTTTGGTTACCTGGAGCATGAAAATATTACACCCCTGTCCCCACCCCCGGACCCCCCCCAATGCTTTTTAATCGTGTCTAAAATAAAATAAAAAGCATGGCAGTGTTTTCCGTGGGAGGGCGAAATGGATTCTGCGTGGATTTCGGGTCCGTTCTGGAACCGTTACTTGATGTTGAAGATTGAAAATTGAGGATTATTTTTTTACAGCCTTTTTTTTTTTTTGTTCTGTTGTGTAAGCCAAATAACCACTTGTTGTATTATTATGTATTATGTTGTATTAAATAACCCAATGCAAAACAGCCTGTGGGATCAATGGTACCTTATGAAGCATAGTTGCTTCCTAAGGTTTATGAATCTATAGTAAGGGCTCCTGCCTTGGGCAGTGGGGTTGAGCTAGATGACCTCCTCGGTCCCTTCCAGGGCTATGATTCTACGACCCTGTAGAAGGTTACAGCTATGCTGGCCTAGGGCCAAATGAATTGAGAAAGTAAAGTCCCCGGTTCAAGAGAACAGTAACTTGAATGTCGCAAGCTATTAATGGGAGACAACGAGGTATAAATGTGGAACTTACGATAGCAATATGAGCTGATGTGAAATACAGCAGCATTACTGCAGCATTAAAGCTGTTCTCTGTGGAATGATTGATTTGAACTTTAAGTTTGAGGTGTTCTTCTGGCTTGTTGCTCTCCAGTTATTCTGGAGACAGTTTCTTCAGACGCTGCAGCCAGTATCTGAGGTTGGTGGAAGTTCCCATAAAATGGAGCTGGAGGGCACGATTTCGGAAGTTGCTGCTGGCTTGTTTTTTTTTTTTTTAATTGATTTCATTGTTGTTGTTGTTTGATTGGTTGGTTGTTGTGACCTACCTAGAGTTTATTGAGAATTATGCAGGATACTGGTTTAGTTTATTACTGTTATTTTGAAACTACATCCTTTTTGGGGAGGTAAGGTAGTGACAAACTTAACATGGTGAGCTGCCAAATAAATTCTCAAGAATTTAGATGCTTTCCATTTAAAAAATGACTGGATGGTTATAATACTGAGTTCTAGTTTTAATATAGACAGTTCTAAGATATTTGTAAGTCAATAACTACATGGTATAAAGTCCCCTGCTTTGGGTAGGAGGTTGGAATAGAGGACCTCCAAGGTCCCTTCTAGCCCTATAAATAGCTAATGTAAGATGGAGCCCCAGACTAGCACCTTCATTTTGGAGAGTAGGAAAAAATTAACCTTGATCATACTGTACTTTCCAATCATGCCCCAATGTGGATTCTTCTACTTCCACTTCTTAAGGAAAAAAAAATGTTGTTAAAAACCAAGACCATTTTTTCCCTCCCTTGAAATGAAAAATGGTATCAAATGTTATGCCATAATAATGATTTAACGTGGGTCATAATGATAACAAAGTTGTAAGCCAAAATAATTCTTACTTTATGGGAATCAGTTATATATTTAACTCACTGGTTCCTATTTGGTCTCTCCCATTAATGGAAGTTCTTGGCTGTTCATTTTAGTGGTAGTAGTTACTGCTTGGCTTCTCCCATGCAAGTATCAAGGATGTTGCATCCTTATAAGCATAAGCCAACAATCAAAGTTTATTTTGGGGTTTACACCTTTTTTTAGAAGCGGCAAGACAGATAACTTATTTGATGGAAAAGACAATTCATATAAATTTATTGAAAGTGAAGGGGGAAAAATCTGGAGTAAGCATGCCCTAGCGTCTATCCATAGAGCTTATTCCAAATTAAACCAGGATTCTCTGGAATGATACCTTTCCTTTCTGTGGGAATCTGATTCCAGTTTTCCTGGTCTACAGCATCAATTTTATGGTGGGGAAAGTCTTTGATGGGTGTGTTTCTTTTATTAAAAAATAATCAAAAAGCCTAATTAATCAAAACAGGAGCTGCCACCTTGACATTCTGCTGCTATAATTTAAAATCCGAGGGGAGTATTTGAAAGCATGGAAGAGACAGAAGAAAAACACAGTACTTTGGAGGTAAGATCAGCAGGTTGTGTTATGTCCAAGAGAGGAGGTCAGTACAGTTTAATATAAACTATACAGCTGCTATAGGACCAATCCTATTTTGTTTTGCATTTCCCTCCTGCTATTGGGTCTATCTTGTTCCATCTCCTTTCTCTAACTAGATAAGTGCTTCTTAAGTATTATGGATAGGTACTTTAGAAACTAGTATTTATAGATGAAACTCAAACTGGTCAAGTGGCCAGTCTTCAGCAAGGGAATCTAGACTAAGAGGCAGGAAGAATGATATATCAGCAAAATACAACCCACCAATGGATATCAGAAAATCCGTGTTTGCAACATATCCTTTGAAATGAGATTGCAGAATGGCATTTCCTTCCTTCGAAGTGCTGAGCTAGCCTTCCCCAGCATTTATCCTCTTTAATCAAAGATTCTAGATTTCTTCACTTGCTTTTCATCTTCTTTTTTCCTAAACATTTCTATTTGGCAAATCTTGAGTCATAATGTCACGAAGACTTTTATCAGACTGTCATAGTATTATGTCAAGACCTGAAAATTAGCTGCATCTAAGCACAAGCAATAGATGCAAGAAAGAGCTTAGAAAACTCAAAAGTTTTTACTGCCATCCAGTGATCATGACCAAAGTTTGTGTGTAAACACAAAGAATTGTTTACATATATGTGTATTTGTGTGTACAAATGAGAAAAGGGGGGGAAATAACAAAAGGGACAGAGGGGGAAAAAGCGGAAAGAAAAATGCAGAAAGGAAAAAAAATGCTACAAAAATATATTAGGTGACTTAAATGTGAAGCTAAGTTTAAAATACACAAATCACAAATCTTATTCTTAATGTAAGGTCATAAAAACATGCTTACCATTAATTATTGATTTATAGCTATGAATATCATAACACTTTATTCTAGGATTCTTGTACATACAGCTGTCTTAGTGATCCTTTTTCATTGCTTATTAAAAATACTAAGTTTAGAATCAACGGAACAATGCTCTAATACTTAATAGTAAGCCAAGGGTTTACATGTTGCTAATGCATCTGACCCATACTGTACATTTGGGGCCAAAATGCATGCAATAAACAAATATCAACTGTTTTGTTTTAATATATCACCATTTTCAAGTCAAATTGCAGTAAATCAAAGAGTTTAAAAAGATGCTCATCTAAAGTATCAATATCCTTCCATGTCTGTTGGTCTGTCCTATCTTATCTGCTTGTCTGTACTATCGGTCTGGTCTGGTCTGATCTGTCTGTCTCTCCATCCACCCATCTGCCATCTATCTTCTATCTGTCTTTTATGTCTGTCTGTCCGTCCATTCATCCATCCATCCATCATCCATCCACTCATCATCCGTCTGTCTGTCTGTCTATCTATCTATCTATCTATCTATCTATCTATCTATCTATCTATCTATCTATCTATCGGGTCTTCAAACTTGGCAAGTTTAAGACTTGTGGACTTCAATTCCCAGAATTCCTGAGCTAACATGACTGGGGGAGGAATTCTGGGAGTTGAAGTCCACAAGTCTTACAGCTGTCAAGTTTGGAGACCCCTGGTCTATAGTCATATCTGTCTCTGGAGATGTATGTGTGTGTTGTATCCATGTCTTTTTTCTTCTTTTCATAACGGGATTCTTCTTTTGGCATAATCTGATCTTATAGCAAAATAAGTACACTGAATTGAACCAAAGTGGCAACTGCAGAGACTAGCTATAGCCACCTGTGGTTTTCCCTTTAGAGCTAATGAAAACTCTTCTGTTATTTTTCCACAGGTTGAAATGTTGCTCAGTTTTCATGCTGTGAATTTAGGTTGATTGGCATTTTATTTTTGCTGCTCTTTGCACTTGCTTTTTAATGTTTTATTGTTCTTTTATTTTATAAAAAAGGACTGACATACTTTTATGTTCTCCTAGGAACCTCCATTAACCATTCTTACTGGTTTAGCAATACCAGTAATAACTAAATAACAGGAGATTTTACTCTATTTTATTGGAAAGTATTAAAGGGGGATTTCTAAGGGGAGTATAATATTAGACAATTACAATATGTAAAAATACTGTTAAAATTACTGTTAAAAAGGAAGTATAAGGAATTACTGTTAAAAAGGAAGTACATTTTAAGTACAGGAATGTCCTGGTATCTAATTGCAAAAATTAGTTTCTATACAGAGTTTATTTTACAGATGAGAAAAATACTTTAATGTTATTAATCAAAGCGGGGGAAATATTACCATATTGTTTATTCATGCCATATAAAGCAGGGGTCCCCAATCCGGGCTGTGGCCCACTACCAAACTGCAGCCCATTTGCAACTGGTCTGCACAAGGACCAGCGAGTGTGTGTATGTGCAACTTGTGCAAATAGAGTTGTTGTGCATGTCCACATGTGCCTGCCACTCGCATGGAACCATTCTTTCTTCCCTCCATCTCGCCGGTCCACCAAGTCGGAAAGGTTGGGGACCACTGATATAAAGAATATATTGTAATGTAAATTATTGGTGCCCTTTTATTAGCTCCCATAGACTTGCTTAAAGCTATTGTTTGGGGATTTATTGTATGCCTTGCACCAGACAGAGATGTTGTGGCTTGCCAGCAGAGCTGGGGGAAGACTCAAACAGTGAGGAGGTTGAGGAGGAACATGGGCCAGTCTGGGAGTCTGGGGAAGGCTCTGACAAGGGCTCTGCGTTGGAGGCAGAGATGCGGCCAGGGCCGTCTGACAGTTATCAGCTGCCTTCAGAGTCGGAGATCAGTGGGGCAGAAGAGCAGCTGGAGCCTGTTCCAAGTGTGCACATGCACAGAGCTGCCAGGAGAAGGGAATGGTTAAGGAAAAAGGTTCAACTCAGGAGTAAAGGCTCAGGTGGACGGTGAATGGCCCCTCCCATAGGGAATAAAGAGGAGCGAAAGGGGAGTGTGGTTTGCAGGAGACAATTAGTTTAATTCATTAGACTGAAGATTTGTTCCTGACTTCTTTGCCAAGTAATTGCTGCTGCTACAGCCATGGCATTTGGAAGATATCGGCCTGGCAACTCTCCAAACCTGATAAAGATCTGTAGTTGTGAAATATCTTTAATGACTGTTGACCCGGACTTTGCTGGAGAGGAATTCACTTTAAACTAAATAAAAGGGGTTTTATCTGCTTCATGATTTTGGGAAGACTAGGTCAGAGCAAGAGACAGCAGAACAATGAGTTGTAACTGAGAGCAAACATTTAACTTCCCTCTGATATGAGAGCTATCTCGGTATCAGTCTGACTTAATTCCCAGCAACGTGTTTATTCTCAGAAAATCGGTATCTTGAAATTGATGGCACAAGTGGAACTCTTCTCTGAGTTAACTACTTGATGTTGAATTTTTTTCTCAGAAAGACTGTCCATTCTGGGGAAAAATAACTTGCCACTTACTCCAGTGAAGAAAGTTGTATGTGTTCAACAAGGCATGACCACTTTATTTTCTGCTAAATAACTTTTCACTTTCTCAGAGCCCATTGCTGTGTTTGCTTTTCCAGTTTGGTGCAGACTTGTTAAAGGTAGCAAACAAGTGGGAAATGATTTTCTAAACCATTGGAATGTGGAAGTAAATACAAGCATGTTATGTACTTGGCTTATTTGTGTATACCCCATTCCTGAAAGTTCTGAGAAATTAACAGTGCAAAACTTCCCTCCAAATATAAATAAACCCACCCAGAAGACTAATAATATGAACTTCTGAATAACATTGCAAAGGAAATGGAAAACACGCGCACATAAAACTGTGAGTCGCGATCCTATGTACAAGATGCACAGGACAGCCATTTGATGTTGAATTTTTCTCAGATTATCCATCTCATCAAAGATCCTCTAGTAAAGGAAAAAAGGCTGTGCATGTTTAATAAGGCATGATCGTTTAATTTTCTGCTAAATATTTTCAACTTCTCGGACTGCAGTTGTACAATCATCTCCATTTCCAGCACTTGGTCTGCAGTTCTTTAGTTCAAACGTATCTTCCTTTGAGATTGTACTGCAGTTCTGAAGGATGGCTGTGTGAGGCTGGGCATACTTATAAGACATTCTGGACATGTTGAAGAACATTTATAAACGGATCTCCTAACTTGATTTCTGAAGTTGAATAGCCCACAGAGGTTATGGAAGCACATGCTTATAGGACATTGCATAAATGTCCTAAAAAATAAGAGTAACTAACTATGGAACCAGAATGATGGTGGCTCCCAGTTACAGCTAATCCTCGACATATGACCACAATTGAGCCCAAAATTTCTGTTCTTAAGTGAATTTTGTCCCATCTTACTATCTTTCTTGATACAGTGGTTAAGTGAATCACTACAATTGATAAGTTAGTAACATGGTTGTTGATGGAAATCTGGCTTGTCCACTGACTTTACTTGTCAGAAGGATGCAAAAGGTGATCAGACCCTGTTCCTTTGCTTAAGAGAAATCTTAAGGTTATCAGCAATGTCTCCTAGTGAGGATTGGGGAAGGCTGTAAGCCATCAAAGGGGAAAAAGTCATTAGTGGTGCTTTTCCTTTAGCCTGGAATCTAAATGGTCTCAGCACGTGAAAAGTGAGGAAAGAATCACAAAAAGAAATGATTGTGAATCAAGATACAACGGCATAATTATTCCTTAGTGGAGGTTTTATTCTGAAGTTGTTTTTTGCGCCTTTAGCCAAATCAGATATCGTAGTTGCTGAAATTTTGGCATCTGATGAAGAAAACTTCCAGCATGTCCTTTCATAGAACAAAGAATGTCCATGTATAAAATAACTAGCCATTTGTTTCTCTTTCATGACATTCTAACTAACTAGTAAAATGTTCAGGTGGTCCATTATCTTAACTTTTTATTAGTTGAAGTTTAATGTAAGTTGTAAAGTCGGAGATAAATCTTAAGCGTTTTATCTTCTGTAGAAAAAAAATTAATTGGGAGTCATGAGACAATTATACATTTGTGTAGCACATATCTACCTGCATTTGCTAGAGGGCCTAATCCAGGGGTCCCTAAACTTGGCAACTGTG